AACATGATTGCTCTCTTTAAATATTTGAAAGGCTGTCATTTGGAGGAGGGCAAGGAGCTGTTCCAGTTGGCAGCAGAGGATAGGACCCGAAACAATGGGTTTAAATTACACGCAGAAAGGTATTGGCTGGATATTAGGAAAAACCTTTTCATAGTCAGAGTAGTTCAAAGGTGGAATCAGCTGCCTGGAGAGGTGGTTAGCTCCCCTTCACTGACAGCTTTCAAGAAGAGGCTGGACAAATATTTGTCAGAGATGCTTTAGGCTGATCCTGCATTGGGGGCAGGGGGTTGGATTAGATGGTTTGTATGGCCCCTTCCAACTCTATGATTCTATGACATTCCTCCAGCTGAAGGAGACTTCCTCCAACTTAAGTGGCTCTTCCATTGAAGGAAAAGCCACTTAAGGTGAACAAACCTTCAAACTTTGCTCAATGGAATGGTAGAAGACATTTAAACTACGTATTCCATTATCAGAATAAGTAGAGACCTTACAGAGAACTTAGATTAGAAAACAGAATTTATTTCTAAAAACCATCTATATACAATTTTTCAATTTAATGCATAGTGTGGGTGTACTCACCAGATCTTTCACAAAAACGATTATGGTTGGAAATGTCAAGAATTCATATACAACAGCAGGGCCTAAAATAGTACTGAGAGCCAGTTTGGTGTAGTGGTTAAGTGCGCGGAGAACCGGGTTTGACTCCCCACTCCTCCACTTGCAGCTGCTGGATGACCTTGGGCAAGCCATAGTTCTGGCACAGCTGTTCTTGAAAAAGAGCAGTTTCTGGCAGAGCTCTTTTGGCCCCACCTACCTCACAGGGTGTCTGTTGTGAGGAGGGGAAGGGGAAGGAGTTTGTAAGCCGCTCTGAGACTCCTTTGGGTTCTGAAGGGCAGGGTATAAATCCAATCTCTTCTTCTCCTTCTACTACACTCAATGACCATCAAAGCATTCCCCCATCCTCCTTCTAGCTGTATACTGTTAACAAAAATGTTGAACCCATGGGTATGGGAAATATCTGTTATGTAATTTCATGGGGATTAATTTTGGCTGCTCAAAGTGTAAATCCAGACTGAAGTTCCAGACGCATACTCTCAAATGCCAAGCCTGCAGCTGCTCTCACTACTGTTTCAGACTTCTCCCATGTGTTTGTTTGTGATAAGTATATTTCTGCAACAATACTTTTCTTTTAGTTTGCATATAATCTCTTCTCTGTTTGCCAACAACAGTTTAGGTATGTGAAATCCCTACATAATGATGTTTTTCACACTCTCTGTGCTCATTAAACTTTCTCTGAGAAAACTGTCTTATCAGGAACTGCTCCCATGCAGTCTTTTCACATTGCAAAGCATTTTGAAAAGTGTTTTAGGTCACACACGCAGTTTCTATGGTGCGCTGGCGTACTGGCCAGGCCTGCTAGTAATATTTTCTACACAAACTGAAAAGGCACTATAGCAAAAGACTGGGAAAAGTACCTTTCAGGTAACTTCGTCATTTTTGAACTTGGAACTAGGAGTGTGCAATTTTTTTACCAGTATTTTTTGATTCGGGTCTACTGGACCCCAAAAAATGTCGGGATTCCTGCAAAACCCTGGATCCTAACACCCAGTACAATATTCGTGTAGCCCAGAGGTGCTGTCTTACACTAGGGTAGCCCCAACAGCAGGGGCACCCCACTTTCTAACCTGAGCCAGAGACCCACAAACTCAGGCCAAGGAATACATGCTTGGTTCTGAAACACAGAGCAAGCCATAGCTCTGGGAAATGGCTCTCCATTTTCAGGTGGCATAAGGCAGCCCTCAGAGCAAACCTCCAGTCTTCTCCCCCCACCCAGCAAAAGTATGCATATGAAACAATGGCAGTTCCACCAGGTAAGTATCTACATTTCTAAAGGCTATTCAAAGGCCACCTGGCAAATAGCCCTTCTGTCTCCAGAACTTCACCTAGAACTTTTGTGTAGACCCATGTCTATGTGAAAATCCTTTGTCTTCCCAACTGTCTCTCCTACTCCTTCCCTCAGGATACCGAGATAAACCAATCGTACATTCAAACATTTAGCGATCCTTCCTGCCACTAATCAGAGACTCATCTCCCACCTTTTGTGTAAACCCGGGAACCTTTTCAAACTGCCTTGACTGGACTATTTGTGGTCAGAAAACCCATTCAGCTAGCCACCCAATACCTGGCTAATCCCATCATCACTATTGTTAATCCAGACTCTGCCCCTCTGGAACCTCACTGGTCACACCTAGGTCTGGCCCCTCCTGATGCCGCACTCCCTGGGACCCAGGATTGGCTCAGGTAATCTTTTGTCTTCATCTGAGGCAAGTTCCTCAATACCTCCTATTGGTTGGCATTGTTTTCCAATGTCTATGTCAAGGCACATGGCCTCAGAGTGTGTGCCTCTGCCCTGATGCCAACTGGCAGTCCACCTCCAAACATTGGTTGCGTCACAATCCCATCTCCATGGACCTCTGCACATTTGGACAGGTCATATCACCCCGTAACTGACCCCTCTATCTGCTATCCATCACCTCTGCTTTCTTAGTTCTAAATTGCTTGTTCTTTTTGAATGCTTAGTGTGATTGTAATTATTCTTTAATAAAATCTATTTAATTTACTATTCAAATCCTACTGTACCGGACCTTGGTATACAATTGGTGTGTGATCCCTGCACCCCTCTGGTCTCCCCTGCCATAGCTAATTCCCCCCAAATAACCAGGCAGGCCATTGGCGGTAACATTCGGATCTGGGATTTTTTGGAAATCCTGAATTTTTCAAGTCCAATAGACCTGAGAAGAAAAAAAAGGTTAAAAAAAGCCAGGCCAATCCTGGGGCTGGCCTCTCCTGCAGGGAGCAATCTGCTCCCTGCCGGCACAGCAGATCCTTGGGCTGTCTTCTGCAATCTCTTTAAACTTTAAAGGGACTTCAGTGGAAGCCCAACAAACAGCTTAGAGGTAGAAGCGATCTGCTCCAGCCTCTCTGCTGTTTTTCGGATACACCTGGTAATTCCTGAATATATCCGGGATTTTTTCCCCCAGTTTCCCCCAAAGAACCCGGATACCTTTGGGATTCCAAAATATACCTGAAAAATACCAATAAGGTATATTTCTGGCTCAGGTAGATTCAAACACATGTCCCTACTTGGAACCCCTCATCAACTTCTGAACACAGTTTGAAAACTACTGTACCAGTCAGTGATCTTCAGAATTATTCTCTCTGCTGCCAACACAGTATGTGAGTTATCTCAAAAAAACGGCCACTGTAGTGGATTTTATAAGGACTGAACTCCTTGGATCAACCTCTTCTGATCCCTAGAGTAACCAATGACCAGTACTCAATTTTTGACCAGTACTCAGTTTTTGCGTACATAAAGCATAGGCTTAGTGCCTCCCAAGCTCTTGCCAGGTTTCTTCTTCTATAAGAACTCTCTTGAAAGTTGCTAAATAACTCTCGTAACTTGAACTGGGAGGACATGGGAGGCT